TGGAGCTGGTTCTGGCTTTGGACCTGGAGCTGGAGCTGGAGCTGGAGCTGGAGCTGGTGGTGCTGGAACACTTTCAGGTCCAGGTGTTGGACCATCCGACCATGGAGGAGCCATGGGTACTACTGCCACTGCTGGAGCCATGGGCGTCCCTGGAGCTCAGCAAGCTGGACTGCCACAGCAGAGCTTTGTAAGCACTTTATATTCATATATCTGGCTGTTTATCAGTCTGTCACTTTGCTGTACATCTACACTCTGTTGGCATCCAGGCCAGATGAGATGGTTGAAATGATTATCAAAATATTAAAAAGGATATTTTCATATTCATATATATATATATATATATATATTATATTCATATATGTATTGCAATCTGGCAAATGCATGCAGAAACTATTTTTTATTTGTTTTTAATATGCATTTGATATGCATTTTAAAGTCTTATATGTTTTTGAACTGTATGTTGCTGTATGTTAAAGTGCAACATTACATACAACATAACAGTACACAAACATTGATTGATTCATTTTAATAATAAAAGGGTCTTTTGCAAATGGTTTTAGAAATATAATGACCAAAGACAGAGAAAAAAATGATGCCATTTTCTTTGGTATAATATACTGTGCATTAACGAGTGAAAATATATTGCAGGAACACAGTCGTATGTTGTAGCTACAATTTAGTAGGTAGCAGAGTGGAACATTTGGCAGAAGCCCCCTCACTGAGAAGACCCAGGTTCAGGCTCCCATAATGTCTTTGTACAACTACAGTGAAATCCTCTAGGGGCACTAGAGGACTAATAAAGGATAGTAAATCAGTGCAATAGTCCTTAAACTTGAGTTCAAAAAATAATTTATTGTTACTTCTCAACTTTGGCAACAATCTGCACCAGTTTCTGTTTAATGACCGTAACAGTTGTTGCACCAGGCACAGAGAGGATTACACCCAGTACTGCTTTAATGCTTTACAACAGGATATCGTTCTGGTTCTCAACCACCATCTCCGTGCATCTCCTCATCACAGATCATTTTAAATGTCCACCAAAGAATGTTTTTCCTCTTTTTCTCCTCTTTTTAAAAAAGGAACGTAAATGTATATAGCAGAACTATATTGTTCTGCTCCCTTGTAACATGAATCATCTCACGAGCCTTCAGATTTATCTGACGGTTGCAAAGTCTCTCATGAAGCTGTGATTATCTCCTCATTACACCAGTTAATCATGTAAGTGCAGGTTTAGGTAAAATGAATGTATATGTTGTATGTACAACCAGATGACTAAATTATAGTAATATGGTAGATTTACCCTGTTTTTCAACACTGCTTTCATTACTGTTGGTAATGATTACAAACAATGTGTTAGTCCTAGACAGGACACTAGGTGGAGCCATAAGACCAAGTGAGACTCAGTGTTCTCCATTCAAGATGATGGATAGTGATTTCATTCTAATTCACGTCCTGAGTCACAACTTGAGGTTTTTTTTTTTTTCTGTATCTGTTCATCACCATGTGCAGTCAGTTAATGCTTGCTGTGTGGAGCCTTATGATTTATTCCTGCTTTTAGTTCTGCTGTGACTCATGTATTGAGAGAGGGTTTGATACTGAAACAAGAAGAAGGTTATGGAAGAGTAGCAGTGGGCATATGTCCAACGTCTCTTTTTTTTTTTTTCTGTATTTTTCTCCATGTTGCCGTCCTCTTTCCCTTCTGTTACAAGCTCCTTGTCTTTTTCAAGCTGTTCTTATATTCTCTTTCTCACTCTCCTACCTGTATCCTCCCTCTTAATTCCTCATAGTATCCATGGCTGCGCAATGTCAAGAACACAGTCTTCTCTAAAGGCAGGGAGTGTTTTAACAACTTTATATTTCCTTATCTCTACCTTCACCCCAACTCCAACAGCAGTCATCTCATCTTAATTGACAACGGCATGGTCAGGTCACAGTGGCTGTGCCTCTGTGTTATGAAGGGGAATTCCACACATTTTCTTCAGTAAAATGTGTCATTCAGGGAGATCTAAGACAGAAAGTTCAAATGTTTCCGTTGTCAGATCAAAGGAGACCCTACTTGACTTTGAAATTAACTCAAAGTGAAGGATATTACCCTTTGTGTAAACCTCTGGGAGAAGTACTGGAAGTACATAATAATTGTTTGTTAGAACCAAAGGGTCTATAAGAAATATTTTCAGGACAGGATGTAACTGACTGTTCTGACACAGTTTTGTTTCACATATCCATATAATGGTACACTCATCACTTTTGGCTCTGGGAACTCACAATGGGCATAGTCTGAATGATTAATTAGAAAATACTTAGGGTATTGGAAAATGAAGATTATCATTAGTTGTAAGCCAATTACAAACCAACAAAGGACAAAACTGAATTAGATAATTATTGAATTTCACATCACCTGCCAATGTTGGTAATAAAATCCAAATGCACCGCCAAACCAACCTTCTCTCCTTCTCTCCTTTCCCTTCAAGTCGTGCCATCACTGCCAGCAGCCGATGCGTCTGGGCGAGCCTGCCGTCTACGCCGAGCGGGCCGGCTATGACAAGCTGTGGCACCCAGCATGCTTCGTGTGTTGCACCTGCAGCGAGTTGCTGGTGGACATGATCTACTTCTTCAAGAAAGGCAAGCTGTACTGCGGACGCCACTACGGAGACAGTGAGAAGCCACGCTGCGGAGGCTGTGATGAGGTGAGAGACGATATGATTATTTTAACTATTTGAACAGTATTTTGGAAGTTATTCATTGTTTTGTTCCATTAATTACTGAATGTGTCCATCCACAGCTGATCTTCAGTAATGAGTACACTCAGGCTGAGGGCCAGAACTGGCATCTGAAGCACTTCTGCTGCTTTGACTGTGACTGCATTCTTGCCGGAGAGACGTATGTCATGGAGAAGGACAAGCCTGTCTGCAAGCCCTGCTACATGAAGAACTACGCTGTGGTGAGACAGACGTTCTTTCTTCCTCTGGGTTTCTGTTTGTTCAAATAGTCGAACCTTTAATAATTGTTTGTTATATAAACCACAATTCAGATCCCTGACTACGTGCATTTTTAGCTTGAGTGGTCACAGCCCAACCCTAGAAATCCCTGTCCTGTTCTCAGGCACTGTTCTGTTCAGTCCTGTTCTGACCAACAAGGCAAAGTCTATTGGTATAGCTTCTTTCAACAACACAGCAGTTCAGAGTGTTTTACACAAGACATGAAATGTATAAAGAAAAGAAATTCAACATAAAAAGCCAATATAGAAAGACTTAAAAGGGACAGTTCACCCAAATTTTTTTATATTTCCTCTTACCTATTTATCTATTTTCTTTCTACGTATCACAGCGCAGAAAGAAGTGTACATCTGCTCAGAGGCTTGTGACAGCACAAGATCTATTCATTAATGCTGTCCTCCTGAGCTGAGCTGTGAAGCTGTGAGATGGTTGTTGGGTGTAGTTCGGTGGAAAGAAATTAGTTCCTATATGAAAATGATCACAAGAAGGTCTGTGGGTTATCTTGAGTAACCGGGTCATAATTTCTGGAAAGAAACGTTGTAGAAGTAGCAGGACAGAACACATGGACAGGTTTTTCTAAATCCCCCCTGTGACTGAAGTCCTCTAACTCTGGATATATTCTCAATTCGATTCGATTTCTGGCTTGGCTTGGGGTCTGTTTGCGGCTGAAGCTGTAAAACTGATAGAGGTAAAGAGAGTGACTGTAAATGAACGCTGGCCACCCGAAGTCAAGAATGTGAAGCACTCGGCATGTGTTTGCATGATTTATCAACATAATCTCCTGCAAAGCCACTGTTTTCTAACTCTGTAACTTCCCTTCTGACTGCGCCATTCTAAATGTGAAGAACTATCTCCTTCCTTTAAGTATTTAATGGTTGACATTCCGCTGGGTTACGAAGCAATTGTTCAATAGTCTGTTGCAGATACACATGAAACATGCCAATATCGTTTAGCAGCTAATTCTGGCTTTAAAGGAAAACTTCTCTCAAGACACCTTTCTCTGAGAACTGCTCTCTCTAATATTTGTTACATCTTCTGTGTTTGTGTTCATGCTTGTCTCATGTTAATACTTACAGTGCAGCTACAGTGGAGTTGAGTTGATTTTTTTGTGTTGTGTACTGAGCAAAGGTTTGAAAGTTTGAAAAACATTCTGAAAATGAATGATGAAATCTGTAAAATGTCGAAATAAAAAGCCGTCTATCTGCCCTGACACCGTTATATCATCCCTCATCCTAGAAATGCTCAGCCTGCCAGAATGCGGTGGAGCCCGAGGCCCAGAGGGTTTCCTATGGAGAGAACCACTGGCACGCCGAGCCGCAGTGCTTCAAGTGCTCCGGATGCTCCAAGTGCCTGATCGGCCAGCGCTTCATGGCGATGCAGGGCTTCCTCTTCTGCTCTGCGGAGTGCAAAAAGAAAACCATGGCTTAGACGGCCAAAACAACTCCTCCATCTTCTGCACAACCACTTGTGAAACCAGGACGGATTGAGATTAGACTAGAACCAGAGCAGGGAAAACAAACACTGGTGCAGCTGGATGAGGGCAGAGAAAACAAAAACCTAGTGCCTGATACCTCTAATAACTTTAACTTTAAAGTTAGTTAGAGATGTACAATAATATTACCATTTGCATTAGGGTGCTCTTTTCTTTCTGTCAATGGGGGACCACAGTATAAATCTGTCTCAACTAGTCGCCTGAACTTCTACCTTTCAGTCTGTCCTCTGCCTTAAAATCAGCCTTCTTTAAACAACGGTTTTCTTTTTTTTTTTACTGATGAGATTAGTTTTGTATTGGTTCAATGTGGCAGTCCAGTTTTTTTGCCTTAAACCTGTGTCTGTTTAACGGTACTGGCGCCTTTGTACCCCAAAGAAGTGTTACTATTGATTTATCATGCCACCTTCAACTGCTTCCTTGATACTAAAAACTACTGATACTCACTGTCCTCTATGCAGCAATATGATGAGCAATATTAGCCAGGTTTGGGGTTGATCTGCTTTCAGTGCACTGTATTCCAGATCAAACTGAAATCAAATAATTATATTATTCTCAGTCAAATGATTATGCAGCAGTTCTTTTTTTCTTTGATTGACAGTAAGAATTTCAACTTCCTGAATTTATATATTGTAGTATTTTCATTGTATTTTTAGGGCAACGAAACAATGTGAAAACTTTGCAGTATACACCACCAGTTACCAGTTTATGAGGTACACCTGTACAAACTATTACTATCATCCTCCTTGTGTATGTTAATGTGGATAAATAACGTGAACAAAGAATGTGGATTGATGCAAGGATTTTGGATTGCATTAGCGTTTATCTAATGAACTGATAACGCTGCACTTAAATCCAGTACAATCACACCACTAACCATATCCTAAGAAAATGCTTTAGAATTGATTAAACAACTCTCCGATGCAGTCTCAACATGATCTTCACAAATATTAAGCTACTGTATTAGATTTTGCAGATTGTTCATTATTTATAAAAAAAAAAAAAAAATTAAGAACCACTGAATAAAATTCTTTTTTGCATATCCATTAGTGGTCTTTCATCTTCGTTCCACATAAAAATACTAGATTTAAGTAAATGATGATTATTTTATATCATTTGGTATAAATAAAAGGGATGCAGGAACAATGTATTCTACCTCCACATTTACTGGCAGAGAAGTTAACATGTTTTTATCCTGGAGTCTACTTGGATCATCAGCTGGGCTCCTGATGGAGGTGAACACTGTAAGGTTGTTGCAGAGTGAATGAATGATGGCAGGTTTGCTGCAGTACTCAAGGACTTAATGAATTCAGGAAAAAAAAACACTGGGAATTGCTTCACACACAATGTTTTGTGTCACTCTATTTTTGTTCTTTTTGAGCCATGTACTTTCCTTTTCAAGAAATAAACTGCACTTTAAATTATTCATTCCAATAAGTTGACAAGTACCAACTCCTGGAGCATCAGCTCAATCCCTGAAATATAATGCAGGTGAGTTTTTCACTTACCAGCTAAATAACACCCCTACACACATAGGTGTGTTTCTCTTATGCTTCATTAGTCCTCCTCTCAGTACTGTGTGTGTGTCAGACAGTACCTGTTGCAGCAGCAGAGCCTATTTTCCTGGTCTAGTGGACGCTGCCAGGGCTCTCTAGTTTGATGTAGCCAGTGAAGGTTTGCAGCTGCAGTGATGTGGCAGCTCAGCTGATCCCACGCTCCACAACATCCAGCCATGCAGAAAATCATGGAAAAAGGTGACCCTATTTTATTGACATTTTTGACTGGCCAAAGCAGGAAAAGCATAGGTGAAACTGAAAACATTAACGGTGCCTCCATTCATTCCATTAAATACCCCTGTGAAGCATTACAGTGAGCCAGTATGCAAAATACCACGACACTACAGCAGGGTAACTCAAATTGAATGCAGCCATCGTTAATGTTATTAATTACACCCGTGCTGTTAATACTATGACATGTCTTCCATGAAGAGACATGGTACATTAAGTGTGGTGACCTCATGTAATTCCCATCATGGCTTTAACCTGAGCAGGGCTCTAATCAGTGTAACTGAAAACACCTGTGTGGATATGCAGGGCCTTGATCCTGTTAATTGAGAAATAAACTGAATTACAAATTACAAACACATGTACTGTATACATATTGCCATAATATTCAGACTATATATTGCCGTTTTGTATGGGGACAGGAAATTATGCAAAGTTGTGCCAGCGGACATCGACTAAACCGAAAATTTAAATGCCATGGCTAATTAAACTTAACAAAGACAAGGCAAAATGTTTTTCCACATACTTTTCTGTCTTCCTAAGGAGTTTTGGAGCTGATTGTTAACCATCCATCAAGCAGACACATTCTTGCATTTTACATTCTATATACATTTGCTTTTATTTCATGCACCTGTGAGCAGCTTCTGTTTTACTTTGTGCGATGAGTTCTGGGATAGTACATCATCATCAAACTCCAAAACCGAGTGGATTTAATATGTGAAATGAAGTTTACACACCTTTAATTATCAGTACAGCCTAGTGTGCGCTCTCTCTGACGTAGTTGTTACACACTGATGGGAACTCTGTAGCAGGACGGCCATGATGGAAAAAACACCTCTAAGGGGCTTGTGTTTTCATTCACCATGTGGAAACAGCGCACAATTCAAGGAAGCTCCATCCCTGAGAAGCCCCATTGTCTTAAATGGCAGTCGGCCCAAAGCTGTGCTGCTATTTCCCCTCTTTCAACCACAATTCTGCCAGACCTGATGTGACCGAATCGCCTGGCCAGCTCCAGGATCACCCAGTCATAACCCCTCTCCAACATCATCCTGTGTCCTTTCTCTGATTTTCTTTTGTCATAAATTCCTTGCTTTTCCTGTTCTTCTGTCATAGGAAGTCTGGCCATGTTTGGCATTAGACTTGGTGTATCTGTTGCAGTGTTGAAGAATTAAAGCTTTTGTTTTCAAGACACATATGCAAATAGAGTTTTTTTTTAAAAAGAAAACTGCGTAGAGTGTGGTGGGGTCTTCTTCCTGTAATATTGTGTGCTTGTTGGAATTTGCATGTGATTTGTTTCATGCTTGAATTTGCATTGTGCTGCAGTTTAAAAGAGGAATTTGCATTGTGATTCATTTCTCACAGGTGTTGCATCATATTAAGTTAACTTGAATCCTGCCTTGACTCCATCACACATACCACCTCCTGTGCTGGTCTCCTCGCTGGAGTGGAACTTGTTTTTCTCTTCAGCTCCATGCTGGCTCATGGAGAAATGGAGCTGAGATGCTGAAGTGTTGATTGGCTTGTGGTTTTCCTCACCAACACCATATGATGATTAATGTTTCTGGTTCTCTTGAGGGAGCTGCATAATGCTGATATGAATTGATGGGCCTGGATGGAGCATTCTCTGCCTTCCACATATCCTCCTCGGAGGATAGGAAATGTCGACAGTGATCGGAAAGTCAGTGAGGTTTATAACCGTGTAGTAAACTCTGCCTACTTAGCACTGCCTGCCTTCTTGGAAAAAAAGTTAGTTACATATTTCAGTTAAACTTGAAAAGCTCTGCCATCTTTCAAACAACTGGCTGTTTTTTGGTGCCACCATGTGGCTATTTTTAAAGCACTTTTTGCTCACACCACTTGAACAGTGAAGTGCAGTTGCAAATATGTCCTTGATTCCAGATATTTAAGCTCATCTTCACCACAACACAAGTGGATGACAAATTCTTTAGGTGCTGCCTCATTAATATAAACTAGCTTGTGGCACTACAGTAGCATAATACATTTGAAATGACTATAACTTAGTGATCATCAGGATAACTATCTTGACACTTTGCACAAACCATCATATTACAAAGCCCCAATGTTAGCTGAGTTTTTTTTTATCATAATATGTATTTTGATGCAAATCCATGTGGGTTAATATAATGTATACAATTTCTGTTAATTCCATTTCAAAGGTTGTAGATCCTTTATTATTTTATATTATCCATTCTCTGAGTCTTTTGTTTGTATGCCACTTTGCTGTCCTCAGAGTAATTCTTGCAACAAGTTTCACCTCCCGCCTCCCATCTGTGTCTATGCAGCGGCATGATGACACTTTACTGCCATTGTATGTTGCCTAATATGCTCAAACTTAAAGTTGTTGCCTATAAAAAAGTGGCAAGACTCTCTATGAGTCAAGGCCTGATCTTCATAAATCATACTCATAGCTTGCACTCAGAGAATCCATCTCATAAATCAAAAATCCGTCATAACGGCATGAACTTAGGACAGCAAGCTGTATCTAATGTATAAGCAGTGAGTCAGAGTCACATGAAGACAGATAAAAGATTAAATCAAGATGATATTTTGTAAGTTACTTGGAATTAGAATTTTCTGTTTCCACAGCCTTCAGCTGCAAAGTGGAGACACTACATCAGACACAGACTTCACAACCAAGCAGAAGTCTGTTTCAAGGTTTAATGCGTGGATCACTACACAATGTAGCCTACTGTTGATCATGACATATTTTTATTAAAACTTTGAAGAATCTGTATTTGCTCTGTTTGAATAAATCAATCTTTATATAGAAGAAGTCCTGTGTAACAAAGACCACCAACAGACTAGTTAAGTATTTTGTGTCTAGTCCAAATACTGTGTGAACACATCCTCACAGTAAAGTCTGCAGGGCAAGGATTACATGGAATCTGAATTTGCTTATCACAACCATCTACTGCTGGCATCAGAGACACTGCAGATGTGGGCTGACTGTTTTTGTCAAAAATCACCTTGGTTGTAATTCCTAAGAAACAAAACATTTACTTATGTTTTGTTTTTTCACCACATTGTTGTGACGAGGTTAAGGATTCATATCATCATTAACCTTTTTGTCAAACATTCTATAGTGTCTTTGCTGGTAGAGTAATCGGATATTTTCTGCCCAAAGGAGTCTGAAGGTCATCTTCAGCTCATAAGGGGGAAAGCTACAAAAACTACTGCCTTTAAAGCCGCGAAAATCGATATTGTGATGATAACAAGTGGTCACTCATATGATGAACCCAGAGAATTACTACCCAACTTCCCCTCAAACTGATCATTTTGGCATTTTTCAGCTCATTGTTTTAGTTTTACAGTTCACTGCTCTCATGTCCATCAGTATCAGCTGCAGCAGGCAGCTATTAAGCTGTGATAAACTCACTGTACACTGCCAGCATCAAACAGCTTGCAGACAAAGTGTAGCAGCTAGTACACATTTAGCTGCTAAAGGGACAGATATATTCCTCGGGACAGTGAATATTGGACTTGAATTCATCAGGTGGACTAAAACATGACTCCAAATTAATATTAATGTTGCTGTGTGTCTGAATAAGCCATTTTGTTTGCTAGTATATTAGCCATAATAACTGTCAAAGTGTCAATGCAACATTTTACACTGTCCCATACAGTGTCAAAAAATCAATGCAGTTTTCAAGAGAAGTTAGGAAGTTTGTACAGCAGTAAAGATCAGGGTTTAAATGTGTTTGAGACTGTGTTATGTGTGGTTGACAGTCCTGGATGACCTCCATAGAAAGGCCAAGGGAAGTGGCTGTGTACTGCTCTTTATCAAAGGTGTGGAAGTTAACCAGACATGAATTTGCAAAACCAAGCAGTTCGTCTTTTCCTTTTTCTCGTAAATTTGAAAAATACTGTTTGAAAACACGTCTGATAAAGGATAAATCTCTGTGTCACTTACCCAAGTATGTTTTCTAGTTTTTGTGTCTTCTTCAGTTCATGCGGTGTGCCAAACCGTACAGGGCTCATTATTGCTTCCTGAGGCTGGAGGGCCAAAAACACATCATGGTACCAAACTTGAAAACAATCTTTGACAATCAACAAAAAGGCGAGATTTATGCCGTATCAGAAGTGTTTTCAAACTTTATTTTTCTGTATAGGTTTTTCTGTGCTTTTTCATCCAAGATGATAAAACCGTCCCAAATGGGCTAAATGACGCCTGAAGATAATCTCAACTCACACTGTTCAGTTCCTGTACCGGCTGAAAAATCTAAACCAGTTATTATACTTAACTTAAGAATATGTTTCAGCTTCTTGAAGAAAGAGTAAGAGCACCCTGATAACATACTTGTAATACTAGAAACATAATGTAGGAGAGAAGTTCAGGCACTTAAAAAGAAAAGTGGACAGGATTTTTTAAAATTACTATGATAAAACCAGACCTAAGGACGAGGAGAACCATTAGCCATTGCAGGCACCTCAACACAAGTGGTATAAATGCCAGCTCTCTGAAACTCACCCCCCACATTCCTGCAGAGAGGGTGGAGGAAGTAAGCAGGAGCGATTCATTTTTATGGAATGTCATTATAGAGGAGGCCTGGTATTACAGGCTGTGATCCAGCC